CGACTATCCATTGTTCTATTTCCTCCCCTGTTAATATTTCTTCCTCCTCCTCTGCCAACAAGAACATTAGAGTGCTGATTGGGTGTACTATTCTCTGTGCGTACCCTACTAAAAACTTTCTGAAGAGATGTGATCTCGGAACCGAATAAAATTTGAGATTTAACAGTCTTAAATTTAGGTTGAAGACCAGGCAAGAAGTTCATTATAGTCATCTGATCTCTCTGTGTTTGTTGTACCTTGATGTTAGTACTAAACGGTAAAAGTACATTAACCTTCTCATAAGTTTTTTTGAATTCCATAAAGCAAGTTGTGAGAGATTTTGCCTCCTTCTCAACACGATAAAAGGCCTTACGAACATCATACATACAAAACACATTGTCTTTTCCTGAGTATAGAAATTCTAAATAATCCATCAATTCTTTAACAAACTCGTAGTGATTAATTAAGCCAATTACCTCACTGTCAATTGAGTTTTTAATATGCAAAAACAATCGTGCATTATCTCTTAGCTAAACTTATCAAATTCCATTGGTGGGAGGATCTTGAATCAAATGATCATCTTTATCAATACTACTTAGATAAAGCCTAATAGTTTTGCACCACTCCATAAAATTTGTGCTATTTAATTTATGTTCAGTGATCTTTGACATGGTTGGAGTTATCTTACTCACAAAAAATTTGTTATCACCAAGTTTAATTCAGAATACCGAAAAAATATCACTTGAACTACTTGAACACAACAGCTAAGGGTACATGAAAAACACTGCAAATATACCAGAAATCCTGAGAGAAATAGAGTACGTCTCCACACACGCAAACTAACAGAAGCACACTGCCACCACCGGAGACTAACTACCGCCGCACGTGCCGCCGCCAGAGTTCACGCACCGCTGTCGAAAATCACGAAATGCCTCCATTCGATCAAAAATCATTACAGACCCCACCGGACAACCGAAATGCAGAAGGGGCTTGAAACAAAATACCTTAAATCGCACCGACAAATCGAAGAAAACTTGTTGCGCGATCTGCTCCGCTGCGACTTCCTCCGCTCCAGCCTTCTGGTTTCTTGCTCAGAATAGGCTGGCTGAATGTTTCTTTGTGTTCTGACCTCGTGTCGAACTCGTCCCGCACGCGAACCTTCCCCCTCTGGTTCACCTAACGCATGATGACTTGGACCCACTAGGAAAAAGCTTCATCTACCTCTTCTGCATGCACCACCATACCGGTCGCGATTTGAATTGGTCAAAGGACAGTGGTTGACTTCCTCTAGTACCGAGAATGGGTTGTTCAAACATTTCTTTGATCTGATCTAATTTGATCTCTAAAAATCCTAACCCTGACTCTGATACCATGAAAATAGAAATGAATATATATATGTAAATAGAATCATATATGTTAACCAATATAAATTACCCTATTAATTTCTTTCCTAATTAGTTTAATATATTTGAAAACATAATCAACCTATTATGTATATAGATCTTTTATAATATTCTAACAATTATAAAGTAATATTTTCTTCCTCTATTTGTGAATTTCAGGAACATAACTCAAGAAGGACAATTGGACATGCTGAGGCTTGAAACGAGTTATACTTCCTAAATGCACCCTTGACAAAATACGACTCTACCACAGAAGATTAGGTCACCCCTAATTCTCTCGTCTTAAAGTTATGTTTCCTTCTTTATTTTCAAATTCCAATAATGGAAACTTACACTATGATATTTGTGAATTAGCAAAACACAAACATGTAATTTTTCGCCCCAATACTAAAAGAAGTAATTTTCTCTTTAATTTGTTTTCACAATGATATTTGAGAATCCTCAAATTTCTTAATATTTTGAGAACCCGACGGTTTGTTATTTTTTTTATTGATAATTGCACTAGAATAACCTGGTTTTTCTTGCTAAAATCTAAATATGAGATTAGTCACATTATTTTCCACTTTCACAACATAATCAACACCTAGTTTGAGATAAAAATTAGATGTTTTCAAATTGATAATACCAGTAACTATTTTAATCAAACAATATCTTTCTTTTTTCAAAGTGAAATGGTCATTCATGACTTTTCCTGTGTCTACAGTCCATAACACAGAGTAGCAAAATAGAAAAACAGTCGCTTACCCATGTTTTCTTATTTCAAAATCATATGCACAAACACTATAAGCGAAACTCTTTTAACTGCAACCTTATCAACAGTTACCATTTCAAGTACTAGACTTTCCCAATCCATGAAAGTTCTAGCTATTTTTTCTTAAAGTACGAACAACCAATAACCTTGACCCTAGGGTTAGCAAATGTATGTTTGTGGTGGATTTACCAACATAAATATGATGCAGATGTTATCATCCTCCCACTTAAAAGTTCTATATATGTGCTGATGCTACCTTTATAAAGACAAAGTCTTTCTTTGCAAAATTTTATTTTTAAGGGGAAGAATAATTTCTATTTGATATTTCTCTACTCTTAAACACTAAAACATCTCAACAAATAGCTACCATATTAAAAAACAAACAACCACAAGATATACCTGAACCTATGCCATCGAAAAAAGAAAACTAAGAAAATTAATCAAAATCCTCAACAATATAGGACTCATGGTTCTCTCAGGTGTACTCAGGAAGGAAAAACTTGGAATGAGATCTAAAGCAAGTTCATGAATCCAAGTTAGGTACTGGAAACGAGGTAAGCTCTGAGAATTCTTTACCTTATGATATAAATATACATATTTCACTCGGAAAAGAGACAAAGAGAATCCACTAAGCATCAACTCTACCCAATTTTGAACTTTGTATCATTCGAAAAATGTTCTTCGTCTCATAAAAACTTTTACATAAGTCTAAATACAAGAGTCATTCCTAATATACTAACTGAAGTTTAACCATTAAAGAATGATAGATTCTATGGAAGTTGAAATATAGGCTCTGGAGAAAAATCAAACATGGGAAGTATTGAACCCATCCAAAGAGAAGAAACTAGTAGGGTACAATTAGGTATTCATGATAAAATATAAACCTAATGGGTTCATATAGAGATTGGTAGCTAAAAGATATACTCAAACTTATGGGATTGATCACAAAGAGACCTTACACCAGTGGCAAAAATGAAATAGTACGTGGTTTAATTATCCTTGACTGCAAATGTTAATTGGCAATTGTAACAATTCGATGTGAAGAATGTTTTCCTACATGGAAAATTAGAATAAAAAATTTATATGAAAATTGATCTTTGGTTTCCTAAGGGCATAAAGACAAACTAAGTGTGCAACCTAAAAAAGACACTATAGGGGCTCAAGCAATTCCTCAGAGCATTGTTTGGAATATTTGCAAAAGGTTATGCTAGCTATACGATACAAGCAAAGTTTGGGAGATTATACTTTATTTATTAAGCCTTCCAATTCAGGAAGTCATAGCCCTTCTAATATATGCAGATGACATATAGCGACAAGTAATGATGAAAAGAAAAAAACATTGCTCAAATGTCTGACCAAAAAATTTTAAATCAAGAAATTAGGAAAGTTAAAGTATTTTCATGAGCTAGAGGTGGTTTCATCTAAAGCTAGGATGAGAAGTATGTTACTGACTTTTTTAAGCTACTAACAAGCTGGCATGTAAACATGTGAGTATCTCTATTGATCCCAATCACAAACTAGAATTGATTGAAGAAGACTTTGATCTTACCAGGAAAATGTTCTGGTTGGAACACTAATATACACATCACACATCATACCGCATATTGCCTACACAACAAGTGCGATAAGGTAATTATGCACAAGCCCAAAGAGGTAACACTTACGAGCTGCATATCGTGTACTCCACTATTTGAAGGGTACACCAGGAAAATGTATTATATTTAAAAGAAACAACCAGTTGATCTTTGACGTCTAAATTGATGCAGATTATGCAGGAGCATTAGTTGACAAGAGATCCACCACCAGTTGTTATACTTTCTTTAGAGGAAATCTGGTCATATGTAGAAGCAAGAAACAGAATATGCTACTCTGGTCTAGTGCAATGCCAGAATTCTGGGGAATAGTCCAAGGAGTAAGTGAATTTTTATGCCTCTTAATGATCCTGGAAGGCTTGAAAATTGAATGACATAGGCCTATGAGACTCTTTTACGATAATAAATCAGCAATTAGTATAAGAAAAAATCTCATAAATATGACCGAACTATTAAAGTCGACAGATACTTTATCAAGGAGAAATTGGAAAGTGGTGTGATTTGCATGTTATACATGCCTGCTGCCTCAAAAATTTCTGTTATACTGATTAAAGGGTCAAGTAATCCCAGAT